ACTGAACTCTCTAATAAAAAAAGCACTTTTATTTCCACATAAGTATCTAAATTACAACAGATTTGGTGCAAAAATCCAACTGTAGATGGCGCTGTAGCACATTTTATATTATATTAAGATTACATAGTTAGATTTTAATATTTAAAATGGGTATATCAATACTTTATAGTACCAATGTATGAAATATAAAAAGAATGTTTAATAATAAAGGAATCTCTGATAGTGAATGATTAGCTGTTTTCAGGTAAACAGTTATAAAAAGCCAGTGTCTGTTTTCACACACTAGCATGGTAAATATCTAAAACAGTCTGCATCTGAAATTGACCTGTATCAAACCTACGCCCTTGAGACTGACACACCTGCAGCTGCCCCCCACCCCCACCACCCTGTTACCTGCCACCACAAATACAAACTAATTCCATGGGAAAAAACTGCACCTGCACACAGACTTCAGAAACAGTTTGTACAGTTTAAACATTGATTATCTTTCAGACTTATTAAGTCCCTGGGTCAGATCAAACACAGCATTTCAGTATCTGAAGTACCTGCTGTAGGTCCGGTCGTCATTTCATATCTACTTACAACCTGCCACACTGTGATGAAGCATGTGCGTGGAGATTTTAAATGACACAACCACTCACTGATATTCAATAATTTTTCACTCTTTACTGGCAATAAACCTTTCTCAGTCCCTCAATGGAAGAATAAGGTGGTAAATGTTTTAAAAGACCTGTATGATAGAAATGGTTTGAAAGCTTTTAATAATTTACCCACTGGACATGGTCTACCTGGATCGTCCTTCTTTCTCTACCTGCAGTTAAGATCTGCTATGCAGGCATCCGGTGCCCAATGGGGATCAATACTTCCCACACACCCTTTTCATAAAGTGTTAGCATCAGCAGGGTCTACATGAGGGATGGTTTCTAAACTCTACAAATGTATTTCTTCACCTCATAGGCCAGTGCTAGAAGAGGCTGCTTGGTGTAGGGTCGTATCTGAAGTGAATGATGAAGAGATCTGCTTGAAAATAGTTTGGCGAAACTTGCATGATACTTCTAAGAATCAAGATAATCAATTAATACATTATGAATTTGTGCATAGGATCTTTCTAACCCCCAGAATGAGTCACTCCATGAAGATAATCACATCCTCCAGGTGTGACCTATGTCCACTCAACACCTTGGGGTCATTTATACATATTTCTTGGGAATGCTTTAATGTGGTTAGAGCCTGATAGCAAATATCTCTGACCCTAAGTGGTATGCTTGACATAAACATCCCACTTTCACCGACTTTGCTCCTACTTAACGATGACTGCTCTTTAGACAAGTCTCTGCGACAAGAACGTGTTCTACGGGCAGATCTCACTGCAGCCAAGGAAATGTTGGCCTTGAGATCGCACCTGCCATATTCCCTGGCTTGGCGACAGTGGGCCAGCTCTTTGCTCAATATTGTCCTGATTGCCCCCCCTGTACAATACAAACTAATTCCGTGGGAAACACAGCACCTGCACACAGACTTCAGGAAGTTTGTACAGTTTAAACACTGATTAACTTTCAGACGGCATATTTAAGAAGTCCCAGTGTCAGATCAGACACTCTCAGTTGATCTGAGCGTTTCAGTGTCTCCTCTGCTGCTGTCCAGTCATCCTTGAGTCGAGATGATGTCCGGTTGGTTTCTGGTTGTGTTGGTGGTCTGTGGTCTGGTCAAGGCTCAGACCCCCACGGATGGAGATTAAAATGATCTGATATTAAATCCTGAGAAAACAGACACAGATCTGCAAGTCCTGCTGCAGCAGCTGATGACCAGAGTGGAGAAACTGGAGAGAGAGCGTGAGGACCGAGGTCAGTCAGCTGGACTCTACAGATGTGTTACTGTTTGTCACTGTTCAAATCTGGTTTCCAAAGTTCAACTGAAACAACAATTATTGAACTGCACAGACAACATGTAAAACATGTGACATTCATTTAAGACAGAGATAAACAAACAGCCTTATGAGCATCTCTGGACGACCTCCAGGCACCTGGTCAATCATGTCCCAGCCCAAAGATGGACCCAGTCAGGCTCAGCTGTGAGCTGAATGCCAATGTGTACATGTTAGCAATGGTGTTTAAAAGCTGTGCAGAGTTTTTCAGGTTGAATGTGCAGTCTAAGTTGTATTAGCTTTGTGTAATGCTGCAGTGCAGTGCACACCCTATTAACAACTTATATTATTAACTGTAATATCTGTTAATATACACTCACCTCTGTTGTCGGAATGATTTATCTACATGTAAAGACCATTTCTGCAAAATTTTACTTGAACTACAATGTTGTACTGTGAGTATTCAGGTCACTTCATGGTCTTTCATGCCATGTCCACCCTCCCACCACTCCCTCGATGGCTCTGGACCCAAGTGTTAGACACATCATTGCATGTCAGTGTGTCAGTGTTAAGGCCCCGTACAGAGGATAAACCCTCTGATCTTTGCTCTGGCGCTCAGGACTAACTTCCTGTTAGTGTGGCTGTAGACCTTCAGTTTATTGAACCTCATGAAAGCTTTGTGTTTGTTCCTGCAGGTTACTATCAGGTGGCCTTCTCGGCCTCGCTCATGACCACTACAGACTGGACCTCTGTGGGGCCTTTCAACACCGTGACCACTCTGGTGTTCAGGAACGTTATGACAAACATCGGCAACGCGTACAACTCCATAACAGGTATGACATCAGCACTGGTCTCTGTTGGTACACATGATTGGCTTTAAAGTCAAGCCTGAGATCAGTCAGAAAAACATGTTTATCGTCTGCAAAGAAAAGTATTTCCTTATTTTTGGTACTCAGACTCTGGTGAGGTCATATCAAGATGTTTCCCTCTTTTTTTACTGCAGGCATCTTCACCGCCCCCCTGAAAGGTCTCTACTACATTCGGATGACCGGCAGTGTCGGAAACTCCGGGTCCGTGGACATTTCACTGAGGAAGAACGGTCGGAGTATGTTTGGCATCTACAACACCAATGAAAAGTACAGCAGCAGCTCCAACGGCATGACAATGGTCCTGGAGGCCGGTGACCAGCTGTGGGTCACCCTCTGGAGCGGAAACAGCATCTTCGACCAGGGTCAACTCAGCACCTTCAGCGGCTTCCTCATCTGCCCCATGTAGGAGGAGCCTGACTCACCTGCACCTGCTGTGGAGGAGGTGGAGGAAGTCTAGATCTAGATCACTACCGGAAAATATACAAAACTTGTCACATGTAAACCAATGAAAATATTGTGTGAAGCCAAGTCTCAAACCAAAAACCAGTTTTTCAGTTTCTTATGACTTTGATTACAAACATACACATCACCTAACAAGCAGTTTTAATTTGAAATGTTGAACAGGAACCTGTCTGTCTAAGCTGCTCAAAAATAAATACAGATTCTTATAACTGAACTCTCTAATAAAAAAAGCACTTTTATTTCCACATAAGTATCTAAATTACAACAGATTTGGTGCAAAAATCCAACTGTAGATGGCGCTGTAGCACATTTTATATTATATTAAGATTACATAGTTAGATTTTAATATTTAAAATGGGTATATCAATACTTTATAGTACCAATGTATGAAATATAAAAAGAATGTTTAATAATAAAGGAATCTCTGATAGTGAATGATTAGCTGTTTTCAGGTAAACAGTTATAAAAAGCCAGTGTCTGTTTTCACACACTAGCATGGTAAATATCTAAAACAGTCTGCATCTGAAATTGACCTGTATCAAACCTACGCCCTTGAGACTGACACACCTGCAGCTGCCCCCCACCCCCACCACCCTGTTACCTGCCACCACAAATACAAACTAATTCCATGGGAAAAAACTGCACCTGCACACAGACTTCAGAAACAGTTTGTACAGTTTAAACATTGATTATCTTTCAGACTTATTAAGTCCCTGGGTCAGATCAAACACAGCATTTCAGTATCTGAAGTACCTGCTGTAGGTCCGGTCGTCATTTCATATCTACTTACAACCTGCCACACTGTGATGAAGCATGTGCGTGGAGATTTTAAATGACACAACCACTCACTGATATTCAATAATTTTTCACTCTTTACTGGCAATAAACCTTTCTCAGTCCCTCAATGGAAGAATAAGGTGGTAAATGTTTTAAAAGACCTGTATGATAGAAATGGTTTGAAAGCTTTTAATAATTTACCCACTGGACATGGTCTACCTGGATCGTCCTTCTTTCTCTACCTGCAGTTAAGATCTGCTATGCAGGCATCCGGTGCCCAATGGGGATCAATACTTCCCACACACCCTTTTCATAAAGTGTTAGCATCAGCAGGGTCTACATGAGGGATGGTTTCTAAACTCTACAAATGTATTTCTTCACCTCATAGGCCAGTGCTAGAAGAGGCTGCTTGGTGTAGGGTCGTATCTGAAGTGAATGATGAAGAGATCTGCTTGAAAATAGTTTGGCGAAACTTGCATGATACTTCTAAGAATCAAGATAATCAATTAATACATTATGAATTTGTGCATAGGATCTTTCTAACCCCCAGAATGAGTCACTCCATGAAGATAATCACATCCTCCAGGTGTGACCTATGTCCACTCAACACCTTGGGGTCATTTATACATATTTCTTGGGAATGCTTTAATGTGGTTAGAGCCTGATAGCAAATATCTCTGACCCTAAGTGGTATGCTTGACATAAACATCCCACTTTCACCGACTTTGCTCCTACTTAACGATGACTGCTCTTTAGACAAGTCTCTGCGACAAGAACGTGTTCTACGGGCAGATCTCACTGCAGCCAAGGAAATGTTGGCCTTGAGATCGCACCTGCCATATTCCCTGGCTTGGCGACAGTGGGCCAGCTCTTTGCTCAATATTGTCCTGATTGCCCCCCCTGTACAATACAAACTAATTCCGTGGGAAACACAGCACCTGCACACAGACTTCAGGAAGTTTGTACAGTTTAAACACTGATTAACTTTCAGACGGCATATTTAAGAAGTCCCAGTGTCAGATCAGACACTCTCAGTTGATCTGAGCGTTTCAGTGTCTCCTCTGCTGCTGTCCAGTCATCCTTGAGTCGAGATGATGTCCGGTTGGTTTCTGGTTGTGTTGGTGGTCTGTGGTCTGGTCAAGGCTCAGACCCCCACGGATGGAGATGAAAATGATCTGATATTAAATCCTGAGAAAACAGACACAGATCTGCAAGTCCTGCTGCAGCAGCTGATGACCAGAGTGGAGAAACTGGAGAGAGAGCGTGAGGACCGAGGTCAGTCAGCTGGACTCTACAGATGTGTTACTGTTTGTCACTGTTCAAATCTGGTTTCCAAAGTTCAACTGAAACAACAATTATTGAACTGCACAGACAACATGTAAAACATGTGACATTCATTTAAGACAGAGATAAACAAACAGCCTTATGAGCATCTCTGGACGACCTCCAGGCACCTGGTCAATCATGTCCCAGCCCAAAGATGGACCCAGTCAGGCTCAGCTGTGAGCTGAATGCCAATGTGTACATGTTAGCAATGGTGTTTAAAAGCTGTGCAGAGTTTTTCAGGTTGAATGTGCAGTCTAAGTTGTATTAGCTTTGTGTAATGCTGCAGTGCAGTGCACACCCTATTAACAACTTATATTATTAACTGTAATATCTGTTAATATACACTCACCTCTGTTGTCGGAATGATTTATCTACATGTAAAGACCATTTCTGCAAAATTTTACTTGAACTACAATGTTGTACTGTGAGTATTCAGGTCACTTCATGGTCTTTCATGCCATGTCCACCCTCCCACCACTCCCTCGATGGCTCTGGACCCAAGTGTTAGACACATCATTGCATGTCAGTGTGTCAGTGTTAAGGCCCCGTACAGAGGATAAACCCTCTGATCTTTGCTCTGGCGCTCAGGACTAACTTCCTGTTAGTGTGGCTGTAGACCTTCAGTTTATTGAACCTCATGAAAGCTTTGTGTTTGTTCCTGCAGGTTACTATCAGGTGGCCTTCTCGGCCTCGCTCATGACCACTACAGACTGGACCTCTGTGGGGCCTTTCAACACCGTGACCACTCTGGTGTTCAGGAACGTTATGACAAACATCGGCAACGCGTACAACTCCATAACAGGTATGACATCAGCACTGGTCTCTGTTGGTACACATGATTGGCTTTAAAGTCAAGCCTGAGATCAGTCAGAAAAACATGTTTATCGTCTGCAAAGAAAAGTATTTCCTTATTTTTGGTACTCAGACTCTGGTGAGGTCATATCAAGATGTTTCCCTCTTTTTTTACTGCAGGCATCTTCACCGCCCCCCTGAAAGGTCTCTACTACATTCGGATGACCGGCAGTGTCGGAAACTCCGGGTCCGTGGACATTTCACTGAGGAAGAACGGTCAGAGTATGTTTGGTATCTACAACACCAATGAAAAGTACAGCAGCAGCTCCAATGGCATGACAATGGTCCTGGAGGCCGGTGACCAGCTGTGGGTCACCCTCTGGAGCGGAAACAGCATCTTCGACCAGAGTCAACTCAGCACCTTCAGCGGCTTCCTCATCTGCCCCATGTAGGAGGAGCCTGACTCACCTGCACCTGCTGTGGAGGAGGTGGAGGAAGTCTAGATCTAGATCACTACCGGAAAATATACAAAACTTAAAATTCAAAGTCAAGAGAGTCACGTATAAACCAATCAAAATATTGTGTGAAGACAAGTCTGAAACCAAAAACCAATTTTTCAATTTCTTATGACTTCGATTAGAAACATAAACATCACCTAACAAGTAGTTTTAATTTGAAATGTTGAACAGGAAACTGTCTGTCTAAGCTGCTAAAAAAATAAAAGCCCACTAACGTCTGCTGTAGTTCCAGTGAAGTGAAAGTCCTGTCGGGTTTTGTTTGTCAAGTCTTTCCAATCACAAACACGTTACACTTTGTAATACTCCACATCCACACTCATATTTTTACTCCCACATCTTATTAGACTCAGAGTTGAATCAGTGGCTCTAGAGACAAAGGTTTTCTTAAGGTTTAAACTGTCTGACACATTTGACCAAACATCTCTTTTTCTGTTCGTACATTGTTTTTCAGAATTAATATTTTAACATGACGTTTACAAACCACTGAGCCAAACATCCCTCTGACATGAGGAGTTTAACAGAATAAAGACCTTCATCAGGAAGTGAAGTAAATGAGTCTGAACTGCCTCCTCCTCCTTCCTGTGTCCACCACACAGGAAGTTTTTGTTTTTATCCAGCATCAGATTCCTGTGAAATTCTTGTTAGTCCTCATTTCCAGTTTCTTCCTTCTGCTTGTTTTCTGAGTGTGTGTGTGTGTGTGTGTGTGTGTGTGTGTGTGTGTGTGTGTGTGTGTGTGTGTGTGTGTGTGCGCGTGTGTGTGTGTGTGTTTAAAAGAATAAATATTTTTAACTTTAATATGAAGCCATTTTATATAAAAGACTTAATCTACCAAAAAACATAAAACATTGTATTTAAACATAAACATTTTTTACAGAACAGTAATTTATTATTAAAATTCTCCTTTAAACAGTTTAAACCAAGAGAGCTGAGAGTAAATGTCACCACAGCTTCAGTCTCTGCTGAGTACAGTTAATAAAATGTGCAAAATACATTTTCATATGGAAACAATAATAATAATGAAATAAGAGGATATAAGTAGCTATGTGAGCAGATGAACTAAACAGACTGTTACACAAGGAAATAATCACTGATGATAAATAACTGATCAAACAGAAACAGATCAATAAATCATAAATCAATCATAAAGAAATTCATTGAACATGTAAATTAAAGTCAAACCTGTTTTAAGTGTCACAGAGTAATAATAATAATCAACATCATCATCATTTTATTTTGAAAACAATCACTTTTACTCCACCGTCCCGGAACCGGAGGAGTCCGCCTCCGTCCACCCGACATCAGCTGCCGTTTCCCGGCCCGCCGCGGCCCGGTGTGTCGGGAGGTTGGATGGATCCTCCGCGGTGACAGGTGGCGGCTCGGCGGTGGTCAGAGCCGCGTGGGCGAAGCCTGGTCCGGCCTGAGGGGGCTCGGTCGGTCCAGTGGAGAGGACCGGTGGAACCTGAGGAGAGACCTCCACAGACCCGGTCCTCTGACTGTCCGGCTCCGTGTGATCCAAGTCAATAGTGTCATAAATATTAATATTGATGGATGTGTTATTTGTGACGTCACGGTCCCTAATTAAAGTGTTATTTCTCTTACTCTGATCAGGTCTGTGACGTCGAACATCCTCAGGTATATTCATGGACTCGGTCCTGGAGGTCGTGGCTCTCGGGTCCCCGGTGCGGGTCAGTCCGGGTCCGGGTGTGGGTTTCCAGATGAGGCTGTAGTACACAGCCAGGACGACGGCGGCCAGGGACACGGACAGGACGTAGACCACCACGGTGGCCAGCCTCACCCACTTCTTGTTGGCTTTGGCCACCAGCTTCGCCTTCTTCTCCCCGGTGTAGGTGGCTGGTTTTCCGCGCTCCGCTTGCCCGAATCCCGGGGTCCAGTTCCGCGGGTCCCGCATAGTCACCCGGTGGTTCCTGCTCTGGTCGTGCTCCGGGTCAGGAGGACAGACCCGGAGTCCAGGAGGAGGAGGAGGAGGCGGTGTGTGAGGTCACGCTGCCGCCCGGTCCCTCCGTCATCCACAGCTAGATCAACATCTGGGTCCACAGCTGGAGTCCTCCACAGGTTTATACTCATACGTCAAGTTCCACCGAATCAACACGGACCGGAAGCTCTAGAGTTTCGTCTTCAAAGTAAAAGCATAAGTACATTTGAAGCGAATGTGTGTTGTGTTGATGACGTGTAAATGCATCATAAACATTGTTTTTGTTTTTTACCTGCTCAGGTGCAGCAGAAACAAACGTCTGTCACGTGACTGTGAGTGTATCGCAGGCTTTACCTGTGGTCAGGGTGATCGTGTGACCTACACCCCGGTGCCCTGTTTCAAGGCTGAGATCGTCGCTGACCCACGTGACATCACGTAGTAATTTTTTTTTTTTTCACAAAACTTTATTGAACGACAATGAACAGAATGACAGGTGCTCAGTATCTCAATCTGTGCTGATACAGTATCCAGTAGTAATAAACAATACATTATATAAAAATAATTTGAGGATATACAGTACAAGTATATTGCAAAATTCAGAATCATACATAAAATCAATGAATAAACAAACAAACAAAAAACATATACGTCAAGGGGAAAAGGGGTTATTCCTCTTTGAATAGTTCTTCATATATTTTGACAGTTTTGTTACATTTAGCTGTGTTTAAGAGCTGTAGTGTTTTAATATACTCTAAAAATTCAATTGAAAATCTGAAAAAATTGGGGGAATTTTTTGCAAATCTGCATTTGTGGATATGAAATTTGCCAAATAGAATCAACAAGTTAACTATAAATTCCATTTCCTTGTTTTCATGATCAAAACAAGTGATGACATTTTTACAGACAATTTTGACATTATATTTCGTTTTACACAATATATATCTCTCAGTCCGAGTCCAAAAGGTTAGTGAACTTGAGCAGTGGTAAAAGAGATGAATTAAAGATTCAGTTTCGTTATCACAGAGCGTACATTTATTTTCAATATCTAAAAATTTGGATAAGTATAAATTAGTTACATATATATATTGTGGAAAATTTTAATGTGCACTTGTTTAACTTTATTGTTAATACAGAATTTGTATGGCAAAAGCCATGCTCTTTGCCAGTTAATATCTGTAAAGATGTTATTCCAAAAAACTTTCCCTCTAGGGTTAATTTTTCTTTTTTCATAAAATGTGTTACGAATGTGTTTATTATTGCAATTGCTATCCATTATGTCTATGCCATTTACAAATAAGAGGGATTCTATCTTTAGAACTTCTTAAAATTGCATGTGACTCTTCATCAGGTGGGATAAGCCGCTAGGAATAGCTTTTATTACAGAGTTAAATTCTTTGCTTGTTACAGGAAAGGACTTAATAAGAAGACATCGTTCATAACTAAGTAGTACACCATTGGTGTCAAAGAGATCAGTGACATATATAATACCTTTGTCTAACCAGTTTTGCTTGAAAATTGATTTTTTACCAACCGTTATATCATTATTATTCCATATGATGGCTTTGTGTGGGGAAAAGTTATGCGTGTAACATAATTTCCATGGTAGGAGGGCCTGTTGAAAAAATGTAGATAATGTTGTAGGTAATTTGGTACATTTATAATTACAGGTGAGTAGAAAGTGAAGACCACCCAATTTTTGGACAACCTTGACGTACAGATCTGTTGACCGGAAATCTTTCAGAGGTATTGGGATAGGTCATTAAATTACTATTGATGTCTTGGTATAACATTTTCACCACTGAAATAAATTTTTCCCCAAAGCCAAATAAATTTAAAGCCTTATATATAAACGAGTGTTCGACTGTATCAAACGCTTTATAAAAGTCAAGAAAAACAATAACTGCCTGTGACTCTACATACTCTGAATAATCAAGTAGGTCTAACACCAATCTTATATTGTTGCTTATATGACGATTGGCCATGAATCCTGTTTGGGTTTCGTTTATAATTTCTTAGATTTTCTTTTAAACGTCTAGCAAAAACAAGTGCAAATAATTTATAATCTACATTTAGAAGGGTGATTGGTCTCCAATTTTCTATTGATAAAGGATCTTTGTTTGGTTTGGGTATCAGGTTAATTATTCCTTGCTTCATTGTTGTTGACATTTCTTCCTTATCAATAAATTCTCTGTACATTTCCAAAAGTGGGATTTCAATAAGACTCCAGAAGCACAAGTAAAATTCTGCAGTCAAACCATCAGTTCCAGGAGATTTCCCAGTTTTCATATGTTCCACGGCCTCTAGAAATTCACTGTTTAAGATAGGATTTTCACAACTAGATCTGAATTCTTCTGAGATAATAGGGATGTGTCTTTTGATGTTATTTAAGAATTCTTCACAATACAATGGTTCAAATCTAGATTCGTACAGTTCTTTATAAAAGGACCTTATATGTGTTGCTATTTCTTTGGGGTTAGTACTCACGCAGTTGTTAATTTTCAGTGTGGAAATATTATTTCTTTTACAATTTCGCTTTTCCAATGCAAAAAAATAGCTGGTATTTTTTTCGCCATTTTCTAACCATCTAGCCCTGGATCGTATAAAGGCTCCTTTAGCAGCCTCTATATACAGTTTGTCTATTTCACTCTGGAATTATGTTAATTTTAACTTCTTGTTTTCTGAAAGATTTTCTTTATTCAATACAATATTCAAATTTTCCATAATTTCCTTTTCTTTTGCATTACTAGCTTTCTTAATGTCTTTGCTGCGTTTAATAGCTATTTCCCTAATCTTAAATTTGAAATATTCCCATTTCTGGGTACTATTCATATCATTTTTACTAAAAATATCTTGAGCCATTAATTTAACTGAATCTTGAAAGGTTTGGTCATTAAGTATTTTATTGTTTAGCTTCCAATACCCACGCAATTTATTATTGCCTTCTTTGGAGCCAATTAGATGAATAGAAATCATTTTGTGATCTGATAGAGGAGCATAACAATGTGAAATTTCGGATATATGATGTATGCAAGAGGTGGATGTCAACTATAAATCTATCCTAGATTGCTGTGTACATCTTAAATTACTCCTGGTGAATTCTTTACTATTTGGGTTTAAAAAAAAACGGCATGCATCAGTAACTGATAATTTCTCATTTAGAAAAAGTGTGGCTTTAAACTGTGAGTTTTGAGAAATTCTCCCTGGAATTCTATCCACCGAATCATCTGGTGCATCATTGAAATCCCCTCCCAAAATCAGGTATGCGTCCTTATATTTTTCCTGTAAATCCTTTAATTTGGAGTAAGTCTGATTGAAGATAATTTTTGCTTGGGCTATCTCATTGTGACCATATACATTACAGATTAAGAAAAGAGAGTTGTCCAGTTTTATCACAGTTATGATCCATCTGCCCTCTTCAGAATTAAAGGTTTCTAAAATATTTCCTGTAAACTTGTTAAATAAAAGGGCAACACCTGCAGAGCGATGAGAGGCATGACTAAAATATGCTTGGTCCCCCCATTGATTTTTCCAAAATTTACTGTCTGTATCACTGGAATGAGTTTCCTGTAAGAAGATAATGTTAGCATCAGTTTTCCGAATAAAGAGAAATATTGCTTTCCTTTTAGTATCGTTGCAAAGTCCCCCCCTGCAGTAATTCTTTTACCATCGATGATCACCTCAGGACAGCGCCATGTAGTTTTCTTCCCTTCTTTGCGTGCTTTGTCAACAAGAGGCCAAAGTTTTTTTTGACTTTGTCTCTCCGAGTATGTCGAGTCCTCAGCAAGTCGCAGATTCTTCTCCTTCATCACCGTGGCGCTCACTGAAGCTCTCCAGATCCTCTGCTTGAAGGTGCGCATGGTGAATTGTATTATCACCGGGCGAGGGCTTCTGTCTTCTCTGGGGCGTCCGATCCGATGTACAGTGTCGATGAGGAAACCCAGCTTGTTTTTCTCCTCTGGAACCATTTTGCCGAAGATGTCAAAGATTTACTTTCTTACTTCCTCTGCAGTTTCGTTGACAGACTCCGGGAGGTTAAACAGTTTAAGATTCCAGCGTCGACTGTAACGCTCTCCATCTTCAATTTTTATCTCTTGCTCGGAGACTCGCCGGTTCACAGCTTGCACTTTGTCGATGGTTGTCTTCATCTGGTGATTCATCCCTTCGACGTTTTCTTTGATGGCCACGATGTCCGCTGAGTTTTTATTTATTTTTTTCTCAAGAGAAGGGAATCTGGTCGATAACTCTTTGATGGCATCTAGTATGTCTGCACCGACTCCTCCTGGCTGTTTGAGCAGGTTTTTTGGGATTAGGACTTGCCAAAGGAGAGTCTAGTACCAAAGGTGAGCTCAAAGAGAGCGGGCTTTCATTTTCGAAATCCATCAAAAGGTTCGCCCTTTTGTCTCGTTTCGGCATGTTTGATAAATGATAGGGACAGGGCTGCCAACTTTTCTAAAAGCCTTGGAGTGAGATTTTGCGGGGCCAACCAAAATTTTGCCGTATACACGCCAATTTTTTGTTTGGCCCATTGCCATACAGCAAAAAACGATTACCGCTTACCTTACATCAGTGGTTCTGAATGTATTAGCCGTAGGCCCTACTCAGAGTGTACAAATGGAACCAATTGAATCAACAGTAAGACACAAGACACAGCATGGCCCATTTTGTGCATATTTATTTTGGGGGAAAAGTAAACAGATATGTCGTATACATAGAGTATATGTTGAAACATTTAAATAAAAATGAAAAACCCCAAAACATTTTTTAAACATCCCCGATCTATATGCATCTAATAATGCAGAGGTTAATGTACAGTAGGGGGAGTAGGGAAAGCTGCCATTTTCAAACTAACAAAACAGACTACTCATCTCAGACTACTCATCTCAGTCCTTGATGGCTGTGTGCTTGGTTGTACTTGCTCGTGGCCTTTTTTGAGGCCTTGATGATGTCCTGGGAGGGCTCCCACTTGCAGCAGGGCTCCAGGCCAGCCATCTTGATTTAGGTTTAATAAAAGTCAGTTAGTTTAATAATTATGCACTAGTATATCAGTTACAATATGCTTTTTTTCTGGCATACAATTTATGTTGTGCTTATTCTGAATTCAATTT